AAGGTAGAGAAAGAAGTACTTTTATCCCTTTCTCACAATACAAGAACACATGGGCACTCAATGAAATTAATGAGCAGTAGGTTGAGAACCGATAAAAGGAAGTAGTTCTTCACACAAAGGGTAATTAACATATGGAATTCACTGCCACATGAAGTGGTGGCAGCTACAAGCACAGACAGCTTCAAAAGGGGATGAGATAAACATATGGACTGGAGGTCCATCAGTGGCTATTGGCCAGAAGGTATAGATCAGGAGTGGCCAAACATGCTTAACGTAAGAGCCACATTGTATAAATGTCAGATGTTTGAGAGCTGCAAGACATGAACAAATATTACACGTTTTTAATTGGGAAATATGCACATTTGATTTTTATTAACATTAAATGATACTGCCAAAATAATAACAAAAAAGGGTAAAACCGATACTGATAATGATATTTATTTGTCCGAGAGAGAAAGAGAGAGAAAGGTGGGAAGAATGAAAGAGGTGGAAAGAGAGAGAGAAACAAAGAAAGCAAAGAGAAAGGAAGAGAGAAAGAAAGGGAGAGGAAGGAAGGGAGAAATAGAGAGAGAGGGAGGCGAAAAGAAAGACGTGGAAGGAAAGCAAATAGATGGGGAGGGAGGGGAAAAGAGACAGAGAGAGAGGTGGAAAGATAGCAAATAAATGGGGAGGGAGCAAAGCAGGAAGGAAGGGAGGTAGAGGAGGAAAGAAAGCAACTTTAAATGTGTTTAAATGTGGTCTCCAATGCCCTCACGGCTTGCTGGCTGGCTTGGCGAAGGGATTTAAAGAGACAAATTCCTTGTCTCAGGGGTAGAAACTAGTCAGAGCGTCAAAAATACTGATTTTACTGACCAAAATTCCAAAAAAATTGACCAAAAACTGACAAATCACTGAACATTTTATAAACTAGCATTTTAAAAGTAAAACTGGAATGTCATTAAAATTATTATTATCTGGCCTCCACCATCCCCATAGACAGCCATCACACATCTTTTTATTGATTTTTTTAATGAAGATAGGACAATGTTTTCATTATTGTACGAAATGTAAGGCAAAAGAGATTCCCTTTTAAAAATAATCACATATTTCAGATAATAAAGCAGCAAAACATATTAAAAATCCACACATAGAGGAATCATTATGACAAGAAGACATAATTACTGTAAGGTAAGACTTGCCTTTGCTTTTACTTTATCTTTTGGTTTTTGGATGAAAAAGAAGTTATTAACAAACTCTTTCGTTTCTCAACAGTTTTCTGCACTGCATCCGCAAGCATTTTTTCTTATTTATTTATTTATTTATTTGGATTTTCTTGTCCTCTTCTTCCATTGCTTTCTTCACTCCTTCTAGCATGAGCTGTGCCATACTGAATCCCACAATATCCTTTTTCTCAGCAGCGTCCTTTGCACATTTGGTTGCATCACTTAACGTTCAAGCAAACATCCACTTATCGTTCTGTTGTCTCAGCTTTTTCAATTTTGCTTCCTTCTCTTGTATACTATCCTTTTTACTGTCTATCTTCTTAAACCTTTCTAACTCCTCTGCCTTTTCCCCTTTCTTTCTTTTCTTTTTCTTTTTGCTCCTTCTCTGTAATGACACACTGTTAATCACAATATTTCTTGTAATGAACATGAGCTGTTCTTGCGATCTCTAAAAGCTCCTGTGTGATATTAACATGGTATACCTTGTTTTCGTATACATGATATAAGGTTTCTTTACCCTTAGGTGGGCATTCAAAGTTCTCTCTGACATCCTAGCCCTTTCATTGGCCGAAATTAGTCCAGATTTTGAAAACCCTCTTTCTATGTCCGCACTACCATGCAATAACAGTAATGCTGCTTTCACCACCTTGGTAACCAGTGGGTATTTTGGATCTCCAGAGGGGTGTGTCTTTTCAAAGAACTGATTCCAGTACGTATCTATGCGGCAAGTTTCACTGGCAGTTTCACCTTCAAATCTAAGTAGTTTTTCAGAAATATTGTTTTGTTATTGTTGTTATATGTACTTTAAAAATTATCAATAAAAAAAAAATCTAAGAATTTTCATTCATCTGCAATCATGTCCAGTGGAATATCCATCAGGAGTGCTGCTGCTACTTTCATTATATCCTTGTGGGTTCCTTCCTTGACCCTCTGTGCTAGAGCTAAACACTGAAGATATCTGAGGATGGGCTTGTCCAAAGATGACTGGAGTAAAAGGTGTTTGCAGGCTGCTATGAATGCTTTTTTTTTTTTGCTCCCGTTAAAAAGAGTAGCTGTTCTTTTTCAGAAAGTTTTTTTCCATTTGTCACAGATTCTACTTTCACTGATTACTTCTCTCACAGGTATGCAGTGCTCATCACTGAAGGCTTCAAGAGACAGTGGTGCTGAACTCTTACAAACACAATTCATGATGGTTCTTGTGAGTGTTTTTACTTCACTGTGCATCACATGCACTAAAGGCTCTTCTTTCTGGAACACTCCAGTGAACTTTGTAAATAAGCGGGCACTCGTGCAACAAAACATCACCTCTGCTTTCGTTGTCTCATGTTTTAAGAGGTTAATTATGATTCTATACTTTGTGGAAGATTTCACCAAATCACTTTTACTCTTAGGAACAAAATTCTTAAAGTACTTCATAACTGAACTGAAAACGATCTGTCTTCTCACTGGGAAGTCATCATGTTTCCCTCGAAATGCAGTAACGAAAAAACCCCAAAAAACTGACAAATTACTGCCCGAGATGAAAAAACTTTTACTGATTTTACTGACCATTTTCCACCCCTGCTACTGCAGACCTGTGTTCCTCCATCACATCAATCTGGTAGTTCAACGTCGTGATCACTTTGTTCAATAGCATCTGGAAATGTTCCACCAGAAAGAGCCTGGATGAAGACTCCTAAGTCTCTGTCTCTTCCCCAGACCACTTCCCCTCTTCTCTCAGCAATGTCCTCCACAGAAGCTACTACAGAAGCTGCCTCTGTATATTCAGGTGCAGTGGAGGGGGGTCGCCTTCCCAGTCCTCCCTCGTTGTGGGGGCTGCCATGTTCCACCCCACTTCCCAGCTCAATGTCACTGGAGCCATGAACCTCATCCTCCCGAGACCTCTGAGACATCAGCCTCTGGCCAGCTGCACAATCTCATCTTTGCACGCTTGCGTGGGGGAGGGGGATGCCAAGTCTGATGAGCCCCAGGAATGAGTGGGGGATGCCTCCTCATGCCTGTATTTTCACCTGTCTCTCTAGCCCCGCGAGATCCCTGCTGAGGTGTTGGATCCAACCCCACTGGCCGCCGAAGAGGGGGCCCATGCCATCGGGACTGCCCAAGGACCTCTCACCGTTGGCCACCACCAGTCCAGGCTCTGTAGTGCTGGGGGAAAGAGCCCCTGCGCCATGCTGGGGACAAAGTGTGGACCCAGGAAAACTTGCTGAAAGGTGACTGACTACTCCCAGGGGTAGCCAAATCCAATCTCTACCTGACCCCCATCCACCTCCCAGGCACCGCTCCAGCAAAAGATTGTATCCCCAGGAGGGTGCACAGGCCCAAGGGTGCTCCCATGGCAGTTCGCTGCCTTCCCTCCACTGGCTCCGGCCTTGTTGGTCTCCCTCCTCTTGTCGCGCTGGGTGGAGGAGCTTTTGACTGTAGCCCTGGGCTGCTTGACCCTTGCACCCACCTTAGGGGTCCCCTGGTGCTCCTCTACCATGGTATCTACCATTTCCTCCCCGTCTCCAGAAGCCTTGGGTGTGAGGAGTGAAGACTCCAACAGCGTGCCTCCCTGCTTGGTGGAAGCCACCTCGCTTGGAAGCCACCTTGGCCCTGTCACCCAATGCCTCCAGAGGGGGAGCAGTTTTTCCCATGGCTTGACCTTCCCTGACCTTGTGGAGCCTCTCTTTCTTTCTGCTGCTGTGACAGCGTTCGAGCTGGAGCTGATCTGCTCCCCTTCCATTGCACCAGGCTCCCTGTTCATGCCGTTCCCAGCAATCGCAGATTATTTTAAGTCAGAATGCCCCGGGCTTTCCTTTCTATCTCCCCCCCCCCTTTTTTTTAAGAAAGAAAAAAGTTTGGACAGAGCTCAAGCGTCCTACTGAGCAGAAGGGCTGTCCAGAACTGGAGGATTAGCCTGAGATCTCTCCAATAGGGGCCAGACAAAAATCTGAATAGCCCTACCTGAGCGAGCAGAGGCGTGACCTGACCAGTTCCTGCATGACTTCCCCCAACTGAAAAAGCGTTCTTCAACCGTTAATAATAGTTACGGTTTGTTTAGAATATGGTAGACTCTTCCTATGAATCAGTTTCACAACCTGGGGATACACTGAGAGACAGTCAACTATGCATTTTTTAAGAAGCATCTGCAACTCAAACTGCCTTTCGCTATGAAGAGAAATGATCTGCATTCTATGTCAGGTTGCCTCTGAAAACATCTGAAACGGCTGATTCAAAATACCACAAGCCAGTATGTTAATAAAAACATGCCATAATGATCACATTACTCATGTTTTTCAACACCCAAATTGGTTTCCGGTACACATCTGAATAAAATCAAATGGCCTTGTCTTGAACTATAAAGCTCTAAATGCTCTGGGACCACAGCACCTGAAGGACATATGTTGCCTCTTTTCAGGGACCCTCCTCTGCGTCTCTTTCAAGAGAGCTGAGGCAGGTGACAACTGGGGGAAACCTTTTCCGTGATGGCCCTGTATCTGTGGAACAGCTTTCACCCATGAGATTCATCTGGAACATTTCTGTGGCCATTTAGATATCATACCACAACTGGCTTTTGGTTAATCTTAATGGCTTAATTATTTGGTTACTATCTCTTGTTTTTGATTTGCCTGGTTTTTAAAACTTCATTTATTGCTATTGAGTCTGAACACGTTTACATTATATACAATTTTGTTTTCAACAGAATTATTTAATTGTTCTGAGCTGTCTTGAATTGCACTGGATACATGCACTTCTTCATAATCAGTTTTAAAGAAGTTGAAGATATTCATATAGACAATGCCATGAGTTAAAACTTACCCTTGCATAGTGCAATTCAACCCCGTAGAGTTCCAAGGTTCGGGCTGTATTGAGATAACAAAATTCTGCCTCAGCAGGAGATAAGCCTCTATAATGAAAAAACAGGCAAAACACAAACAGTCCAAAATGCATAAAATAATCTGGCTCCTTACTTCCAAACACATATTAATTCATTGCATTTCAAAATAATAGAGGTAGAAAGAACTCATTAAATGCTGTACCTCAGTTATCCAGTTAGTTATCCAATTGCAAAAAGGTTTGATGTAGGTAGCTCTGCGATAGCAGGTCTACCTCAGATTAACAAAACTGCAGAATTCTAAACACAAACACAATTGCGCCAGAGTACTTTTCAGATGAAGGAGGAGGAGGAGATTGGATTTATACCCCGCCCTTCACTTGGAGTCTCAGAGCGGCTTACAAACTCCTTTTCCTTCCCCTCCCCACAACAGACACCCTGTGAGGTGGGTGGGGCTGAGAGAACTCTGACACAGACTGCTCTTTTTCAAGGACAGCTGTGCCAGAGCTTGTGACTGACCCAAGGTCACATCAGCAGGTGCAAGTGGAGGAGTGGGGACTCAAACCCGGTTCTCCCGGATTAGAGTCCGCGCACTTAACCACGACACCAAACTGGCAAACAGTATACAATAATATCAGGAACTCCAGGATAAATATTTGTTTAAGATCAGTACTATTAGATGACTACTTCTCTCTACAGCAGTACCTGAAGGTTTTTAAAGAGCCATCCTTTCAAAAGAACTGAGTAAGATAAACAAGGAGTAATACGTATAATCCAGAGAGCTACCTTAGGTATGGCCAAAACCTACCTATGCACAGATTTTTTTCTCTGCATATGCAAAGCCGAGTGCAATATCATAAAGTGTTTTTAATATCCATTGAGGATGGGGGGGCTGCAGCTGCCCAAACACCTACTGGATATATGGAGGTCACACAGTTCTCCAGATTGTAACTTTAATAATGATTTATGCTTTATATTAATGCTTACATATGCTGTTGATGTAGTTTGGATACTTCTTTTTCAAAGTCTTGCAGCTGGCCAGGGATGAATGAGTACTCTGAGAGGTAGCCTGGGAGGTTCTCCGAAAGGTTGTAAGATCCCAGTTCAGCTAAAAAAATAAAAACCAAATATGTTTAGCAACATCTCAATTTGAACACTTTGCAGCCCCTGACAAACAAGACGACAGAAAAATAAACTCATCTTCCAAATCATTCTAAAACAATTAAATGGAATAAAAAGCAGAATAAAAAACAGAAGTTCCTAATGCGGTTCACTTTTAAAAGCCACCAGCTTCTTTGGTGTGCCAACTACAGTAGAAAGAACTTCGAAGAAAGCCTGATCTGCATGTGATCTTCCCTTACATGTTCTTAAATTAGTTCTTGCAGCATAAATGCTTTATGTTGCAATCCAAAACATGTATGCTCAGAAATAAAACACACTGAACTCAGTGAGACTTATTCCCTACTAAGCAGGCTTAAAATTGCAGCCTTAGTTCTTTGCTGGTGGAACTCTATTTATAATCAGTAATATCTTTCTCACACGGATCGTTATGCTCAGTAAAACAATAAAGTAGCATTTCTCAGCTGTGTTCTCCCATAGTTCCCTGCCAACTCTTGCTGAACTGGAAGCAGTTGCCCCAGAACAAAAGCAGCCTCAGTTTTTTTCATGAACAAGTCAAAGGTACGTACAATTCTTTATAGGAAAGCATATGCTCTTGTACACTGTCCCCAATTCATTTTTGAGTTAGAACACAACACAGGGCCAAAGAATCATGAGAGTTTGTTGGGGACGGCTGAAGAGTGCCTGGCAAGAAGGACCACCGAGGCGAGGTGACAGCCAATGAGACTGGTGGGGTTTGCTGGGGGGCTCCCAGATGGTTTTGGCCAGCCCCAAATGTGCTCAAGGGACCTTAAGAACATAAGAACATAAGAGATGCCAATGTTGGATCAGGCCAAAGGCCCATCCAGTCCAACACTCTGTGTCACACAGTGGCCAGAAATACCAGTGCCATCAGGAGGTCCACCAGTGGGGCCAGGACATTAGAAGCCCTCCCACTGTTGACCCCCCCCCTCAAGCACCAAGAAGACAGAGCATCACTTGCCCCAGAGCCCCTAGCTATACCTTGTGGCTAATATCCACTGATGGACCTCTGCTCCATATGCTTATCTAATTCCCTTTTGAAGCCGTCCATGCTTGGCTCCCTTCAGATGGTTCCAGACAATTCTGGGTGGCTTTGGATGATCACTTGATTTCAGTCGCCTTCAGCCGCCCTTGACCCAGCCTAGCTCCTTCCCCAAGTAGTCCTGCTTGCTGGCTTGCTCTGAGTTGTGCTGCGGAGGCATGAAGCTCTCACTGGGCCAGCCACCTGTCCATTAATATGACATGCAGCACATGACATCAACCTGGCATGAGTGACCAAGACCTGGACATAGGAGGGTGAAACAGTCACCCTGAAAGAACTGGCCTTACCAGGCTTCTTGGTCCTCCAGTCTTGATCAGAAGGGCGGGAGGGTGGTTGGCCATATCTGAGAGGGTTTCTCCTTCAGAGCACTCCCTGTCACCAAGGATTTCCAGTACTGATTGTGCTGGCCTGGTGTGGGATGCTGAGGAGAGTTTGGCTGTCTGCTTGATGTACCAATCACCTAGCACCCAAGCAGACAACCTTCCGAGCCTGCTATAGGTGGCTGGGCCTTGGAGTTCCTGAGGCTGGAAGGAACTGAGGGAAGGGGGCACCTGACTCCGGAAGGTTGTCTGCTGGGGTGCTAGGTGATTTGTTGAGGATAGCGATGGTCCCGTCTTGGCACTCCCATCTTCCTCTCCCTTGCCCCTTCCCTCATGAGACAGCAACGCTGTTGGGATCTTAGTGCCATCTATAGTTAATTAGATCTACTGTTTTAGCCTGATCTGTTTTACTGTTTTAGCACGATCTATTTTAGTCTGACATTAAACTGTTTTATATGATGTTTTATTTGATTGTGTGTACACCACCCGGAGCCTCATCCCACTGGGGAGGGCGGTTGATAAATTCAATAAATAAATAAAAATAAATTGCCAAGTAAGCAAAAACAATGTATGAAATTAGTTTCACATTCAGACACAATGTATATAACTGACAGTAACAGCATACAAACTGATAGTATCTGAAACAGAGAGGGTAAAAGCATTCTAACAAAAATATCACAAATTGAAAGCACAATCTTTACATTTTCAGTAACATTTTGATGTCTATGCCCTGGTTAATATTCATAGACATCAAAAATTCTAGCAATGAACAACAATACTATATATTTTGAATATTTTCGAATCTGAGAAGCTGTTCTACACTTAACATCCATTTTTCATCCATTTGAGTTATCAATACTAATTGGATAACAAAACAGCAAAAAATAAAAATAATAAAACACCATTAAACTCTATTTAAATTTTTTGCTACAGCTGACATACCAAAAAAGTTTAGGAAGATTACCTTTTCTTATTTAAGTATATTATAAAGTTTTATATATTTAAAAAGTACTTACACTGAACAGCGTAGGAAGCCAAAAGTGCAGCAGTATTGTAAGGACAGGGCAATCTATTAAAAGATTAAAAGTAACGGGCTGAAATGGCAGGAATCTTTAAAAGCATGCTTTTTTAAAAGTGTAATTGCATTACATAGACTAACAGCAGATGAATCATCAAGAAGACAGATTTCTTTTCAAGAACATAAATATATGAAGTTTTTTATATATATTATGTTACAGGGTCAAGATTTGGATGCTACTCTACAGTCATGGAAGCAGCCCCGTAGCTAGGGAATTCTTTGGGAGGGGGCCTTGGGGGGGCGCCAGCTAATTAAATGGAAGTACAGTGCAGGTGGTAAGTTGGAGCACTTTGGGGGCAGCCCTGGAGGGAGGGGGCCCAGAAGAAACACAAGGGGGCTGGGCCCCGTGGGCCCCATGTTAGCTACGGGCCTGCATGGAAGCACAGCAACGCTTTTTTACTTTTTGAGGGATTTCAGTATCCCCCATATAGTTTTTTTAACTTTTCAGATTTTTCTGCACATCTGGAGACTGCCCCAAGTGTGCAGGAAAATCTCTTTGCCCCCCCAAGTGCCCCCGATGTGTGGATTTTAATATCCACACAGAAGGGACCTCTTCGCTATTCCTATATAGATTCAATATACAACACAACTCCATTTTTCTCTTTAGTATCTGCTGATATAAATTCTTCACCCAGGGTTTTATAAGGCAAATATTTTATATCTTTTTTCTTATGTGAGTCTTTTGTAAACAAATAACATTTTTTTTTTCAAATAATGAATTTTCCCCTATTTTGGGGGGCATTTAATCCATTTATATTCTATGTTAAACAAGTGTAATCCATATTGCAATCAGAAAACTTTAACAAAACATTAACAAAGAATCTAAAAATTTAATTGGTACTCATGGCACCCAATAGGGAATCCTCCTTGTCCACGTCTTGATTCTGTTCTTCTACTGAAGTATCCCATTTGTATCTCCTCAAAATCTGATTTGATTCTTTGTAAAAAGTCTCTTGCTTTTTTAACTTAATTCAGTTTGAATCTTTGTTGCTTAAAGGTAAAAATCACACCCTCCAAAGTATCTCATGAAAGGCAATCTTTTTCTGTCTTAGTTTTTCAGTCAAAAAGGCTAGTCCTTTCTTTTATGTAACATTCTAAGTGCAGTTTCTTTCAAAATAATGAAATCTGTTAACATTGATGAAATGTTGTTGAAATACTTGGGCTCTTGTCATCTTACTGACAAACTGGACTAGTGTGTCCCTTGGGACATTTTTTTGTTCTGGAAAATCTAGAATTAATCCTGTAGACTTTATCAATTATTATTTCCATGTCTTCTTGTTCCACCTGTAAAATAGCTGCCAAAAATAAAACGATCTTCTCTCTGGTGTTTCCTCTGGAATATCTCTCAGACAATATTCCTTCTCTCTTAGTTCCATTAGGGCTAAACTGTCTGGATGTTTCTCCAGCTCTTGGTTTATCACTTCTGTTTTATTTTCTGAAATAAGAACCTTATCATTAATTTGCTTAACTGCTTCAGACATATGCCCTATAGATCCTTCTAGCTTTTTAACATCCTCCTTCATTTCTTCTTTTAATTTTCCAAGTCTCTTCTTCATCTTTTTTCTCAAAAGACTCTATCTTATTTTCAAGATTTTCTATTTTATTTTCTATTTTGTTCAAACTGTTTCTGAATCATACCTGGTGCAACAGGTTGAACTGTTGAACCTTTTCTATCAGGATTTTTTCTGGTGCTCATTTTGCAATGAAGTCCATAAAGCAAGGAAATAGAAACAGATAAGCAAAAAACCTGGAAGCTCTGAGATATTTCTAGGGGAAATGTTTTTAATTTTAATTCTCAGCAGTTTGTATCATATCATCATAGCAATGAAGGTCAGACTGAGACAAAGGCTTATCTTCTGTTGTATATAATCAACAAATTACAAACAGTCCTCTAGAGTAAATAGGGAAACAATCCCACAGCAGATTTGTCTTCACAGCTAGGGACTTTACAACATATGCATATTCATCAAAAATAAATTTGGGGAGGAAGTTATGGCAAAAATAATTGGTCCCATAACCATTTAAACTTTCCTGTATCTTCTTAATTAAGCTTTTTACCAGTTGTTAGTAATTCCGTGAATACCAATATTTTTTGGGTCCAATATACCCAAATAAAAAAAGCCTGTATACAAGATGCAAAGATCCAGCAACACCACTATGTGTGCATTTTCCAGTTCACTAGTAAATGTGTATAGGGGAAGTTAGCTTCTATAAACACACTGCTGTCCACTTTGATTGATTCCACTGATTAAATATTGCTCACCTCCATCCTAAACCATGCACTATTTACACAAGTAGCAGTCTCAAAAGATACACAAGTCTTCAGAGTTAACAAATCTTACCTTCCAGTAAGAATGTCTTGCTTAATTTGCAAAAAATATTGGTACCTTAAAGAAAGAGTAAACACAGCACAACAGATTAACAAAATTAAGATCACCTTTTGATTTCAGCATCTGCACTTCTTCATAAATCATTATTTCAAGCCCAAACCCCACAGAAATTAACCTAAGTTTGAAGATACAGAAGCACAAAGTAGTATTTTACAGCTACTATAAAACATCCAAGTATATTATCGCTCATGCAAGTAATACAAGATCTATTCATATTAAATAAACCATATAAATTTGTAATTAATGGCCTATCGATCTGTGTACAGAACACTGATTTTCCAGCAGCCTCTTCCTCACTCCCAAAAGACAAATCCTGGGGCTATGGGACACACATGAAAGAACAGCAACAAATGGTGGAGGGAACTGCAGGAAGGAGGTGAAAGAGCTCCTTCCTCTCTCTCTCTCTCTCCTGTCAGCAGACACTGATGGAAGACAGAGTGATTTCAATACATTCCCGGCCTCTTCACTCCAGCCCCCAGCTCGTGTAGGTATTTCTCTGTGTGGTCCCACAACACCAAAAATAACCTTTCAGAGACTGGAAGTTACTGCAGGAATGGAGAAGACTGTTGGAAAACTGCAATTTCTGGGCATCATTCTAGACTCAAGCAAGTGCCAAACGCATCTGTCCAATATTTCAAAGATCTAACTTTTAGAAAAAGTATTTTCCTCGTACCTGTAGCAAAGTTGGCTGGGTGTTTAAGATTTTCAAAATACTGAAGCGGAACGGCGTAAGCCACAATGTACTCTACTACTGAAATATCTGCATATGCATACTACCCAAATACACATGATAAAACAATGCAAAAACTATAAAGATTCAACACAATATTTGTATAGCTCACACATCTAACTCTCTAATTCAGTAAATAAGTTTAGACAACACCACTTCCCAAGGAGAGACTTTTAAAGATACAGGACCTTGTTTTGCACTAGTAGTTCCTTCTTATAAAGAAATATGGAGTGCAACCAGGGCTTTTTTCCTGCAGGAACGCACTGGAACCAAGTTCCAGAACCTCTTTGACAAAATTCTTTTAAAAATGTTTAAAAGTTCATGAGTTTTCAGTATACAGATTGAAAACATCATTTCCCTCTTGAGAGTCCCGGTACCTCTTTTTCAAAACAAAACAAAGCCCTGAGTTTTCAATTCAATTTATTACAGGTCTTTATGACCGAAGTCTTGACCAAGAGGATACCAAAGGGGGATAAAATAGGTACATAAAATAGACATAAATATGTCAAGGTACATAATAACAGTCACATAAAACCCAGGCTGAGCCCAGAGATTAAAAATTACCTAACTACACTTGGGGCGGAGCCAACTAACTAAAATCATCCGAAGATTAAAAATCGGTGTCGAAGTTTTCAGAAGTGCTGGACTTTTCAATGCTTCTTGAGAGCAGCCACCTTAGCCAGGAACCGCGCCACGTTAGCTGTTATCAGTCCATCGGCATTTGAGTCAGATAACAGTACTGAGAGCACCCATGGTTGCGCGGGAAGATTCATCTTCATGAGAATAGGACAGATATAGGTGCCTCCAAAGCCCTGAGTGTAACCCATATTCATCACACTTTGTGCATTTAATGACTGAATATGGAGGACCTGTTTTGATACTTTTATCATTGTTTTGGTTATTTCATACAATGTATAAACGTTTTAGTAGTAAACTGTATCATGCTTTAGTCCCTGGCACTTCGATATTTTTCCATTTGGTTTACTGAGATCAGTCTCCTTTCTTTCTCTTGCAAGTCTCATATCGTCCTTTCTAAACTAAGTACGATAAATAAATATGAACAGCCATACTGGCTTATCTCCAACAAATACTAACAAATATTAGTATTGATAAGCTATTCTAATTAGATTTCAGCCGGACAGGCTGGGGGGGGGGAGTATGCGCATCCAGTGTGTATTAGATCGGTTTCTTTAATGATCCCTGCAACTCAATTTCTTTTGTCTGACTGGATTTCAAATTCAATCTGACCATACAAACGCCTGGATCATTACTGATTTCCCAGAACCACCTGACCATGAAATCCAAAAAACTCCCTCAATCTTGATAGTGTGGTTTACTTTCATGCACCAACATTTTGTTGCAATATTTCGAAGTTTTCACTTATATGTTTTTGCTACCAGAGCAGAATAAATGTCTTGTCCAAAAATGATCTGGCTATATGATTTGGCTATTTTTCTATAGCTCCTTATTATATTCTTATCCTATGGTTCTTTATTTCCCCTAATAAACTCATCCTAATTAAGTATACTTGTTTTGTTTTGCTGTATGGATTCAAAGGATCCAAGATGTCCTTGTGTGAGCAAAAGATATTTCTGCCTATAAACAGAGGGGAATTGCCAATTACCAGTTTTCTTCAGCAGCAAACTACGGTGCCACATTATACAACATTCCGGTGAAGCTAGTGTTCTTCAGCATTTGTGTTTTTGGGGACTCCACAGCTGCACTGGGGGAGAGGTGAAAAGCCAGACTGTGCACATTTCTTGGATATAGCCCAAAACTTGTTTGGTAATGTTAACTATTTTAGGCAACAGAACTGCAAATTGGGAAAATTTCAGTGATGAACAAGGCAATCCTCTTAGGTTTCAGGTACCTCTATAAATATATGATGGCTATGCTAAGACAGGAATAAGAACTAAAGTAGAGAAGTTTATGCTGGATCCCTCAGAGCTAAACATACTCCAGGATTGGTTTTAACTGTAGGGCATATATTACCCTTGCTAGTTCACTGCCTGGTTTCATAGGCCTCAAATTAAAACAATGAATGAGCAAAGCAGCCAATAGTTTTTAGTCTGTAAATGAAATTTATGGCTATTAAAGGTGGGTGCCAGATATTTATCAACTCAAATTCCCCTGCCAACTCTTCAATCAAAACTGTTTAAGGAGTCCATAATATTATCACTACACTACAAATAAAGAACATGCTTTTATGTATCCAGTACAGTAGCATTGGACATTATTGGTTTGTATCCAATGAAGCCTACTTGCAGAGAAGCACTTTCCTACTTCTGCCTTCTGCTGTGATCTACTGAGTCCCTCTCCTCAATTTTGAAGGGCTTTGCTGTGGGGGAAGGGAAAATTTCCAAATTGTCCCCCCCCTCCTTCAGACTATAGAAGTGCTCCTTTGTTGTTGTAAACATGGTATAATATACAAACCACAGGACCGTAAAAAAAATAAATCGTCTTTTTGAGGGGATAAACGTTTTATAGAAACTGGGCCTGAGTCAAAACTAGAATGATACCTTGTGACGGATTAGCAGTCCAAATAAATGGTAATAGCTCAGCAGATGGCCTTCAAACTCATTAGAGAAATCTTTATAATTTCAACTGACACGGCACTGTTGTCGAGAGCCATTTTCTATTGGAACAATAGGTTACAGTGAGGCACAATAAGGTCCTTGTATTTTTCTTACCCTCGGGTGCTGCTCTTAACAAGTGTCCTCACACTGCACAGACCAAAAGGCACTATGGCTTTCTTGTACAAAATGCTGCTTTGAGGCATTCTAAGGCCCTGGGAATAATCCCATGATGAATCTCCTCATGTAAATTTATTCTGACAGCTGAGAGAAATTCGACCTACACCATTAAATAGGTAACATCTTTCTTACATCGAAATGCTGATTCTTCTCATTAAAACAGAATTGTCACAAGAATGTATATGACACCTACCGTATTTTCCGGCGTATAAGACGACTGGGCGTATAAGACGACCCCCAACTTTTCCAGTTAAAATATAGAGTTTTCCAGTTAAAATATAGAGCTGTGCTAATGCTTCTGGCGTACCGGCGTATAAGACGACCCCCCACTTCTGAGAAGATTTCCCTGGGTTAAAAAGTAGTCTTATACGCAGGAAAATACGGTACATCCTCTAGTGTTGCCTTAAGCAATGGGTGAACACCCAAGAGAATGTGACACAGGGCTAAAACTGAAAGTACTCCTAAGTCAACAGAATGCCTAACATTATCTTACCTTTCACCTTCAAAATCACTGACTCTAGGGACAACTTCTAGAGTCAGTGACAAAACCATTAATTCTCAAGTAGTTTCAAAGAATTCAGGGGTCAAGAAATCAGGGCACAAATATGTAGTACATTTGCTTACAGTGTATGGTTTCTAGACATCACAATATTTAATTTAAATATGTACCCAGCAACAACTTGTTGCATACAGTTTGTTATTTAAACAAATTAAATTTACCTCATAATACCATTCTTTCACATATACAATTATATGCTGGGTAGCAATGGATAGTGAAGGTATTAGAAATTACAATTATATTGAAATTATTGTTCAGACCTATACACCCTTGCCAATCACCAAGAGGGAAGTTAGCATTCCTTGCCAGAAGCTGTAGCCTACAAGTTGGTATCCTCACCTTTACAACTTTCTGTACTAAATGAAGTGATCAAGTCATACTTTACTAGAACAGCATGGCATTTCCTTCCACGTGGCATGTATCTGTGCTCACACTGCTTTTCCTAACAGACATCATTTGACTGGCCTAAAGCCTAGCGACATGAAAGTTTAGATGCAAAGACCTAACAAGAATAACAAGCTAAGTTTATATGGTCACCATGGGTTTGGATTTAATTATGGAGAAAACACAGAGATATGTCTAAATAGGAGAATGATGTTGTAAACGTATCCTTCTTAATTGTGGAATGCTAAGATCAATTAACTGAGACCCTGTTGTTACACTACATTTGTCTCCTCTGAAGCATGGCGGTAACCACCAGGAGGCTGGGTGAATGGTTCACCAGATCAGAGAAACACATTCCAATTTTCATTGTATTACATCACAATCACTATTCCAATAGGTAAAGGTAAAGATAAAGGTTCCCTTGCTCGAAAGCCAGTCGAATCGAACTCTAGGGTTGCAGTGCTCCTCTCCATTTCAAAGCCGAAGAGCCAGCGCTTTCCGAAGACGTTTCCGTGGTCATGTGGCCGGCATGACTAAACACCAAGGCACACGGAACGCTGTTACCTTCCCACTGAAGTGGTACCTATTTATCTACTTGCAATTTATTGCTTTCGAACTGCTAGGTTGGCAGGAGCTGGAACTAGAGACGGGAGCTCACTCCGTCATGCAGCACACTCGGGTCTCGAATTGCTGAACTACCGACCTTCCACAGCCTGCAGTTCAGCGTCTTAACCACTTGAGCCACCGCAGCTCCTAATAGTGTATTCCAATATACTATTCTAAATAAGAATATACTAAAATAAAGAGGATGTATAGCCCTTCTTGGTGAGAATACATATGTAAGGACTGAATGAGCTAGGCATATGTAGTGAGATAAGAAAACAATATCTTTGTTAATTCAGCAGTTTCCCTTTCCAGTCTGTTCCTGAAGTTTCTTTATAATAAAACAGTATTGTGAGGTCACCCACTGAACGTCCAAGGAAGGCTGCAGTGTTCTCGTACAGGTTTCTCAGTATTGTGATTCTTGATGTCAGATTTGTGTCCATTTATCCTTTGACATAGTGTTTGACCTGCTTGCCCTACTTAGAGAACTGAAGGGCATTGTTGGCATTTAATGGCATATTTAGACATATTTATGTCTGAGGAATATGTCTGAGGAAATGTGTGCTTGCACGCGAAAGCTCATACCTTGAATAAAACTTTGTTGGTCTTAAAGCTGCCACTGAATTCAAACTCTGTCCTATTTGCAGAGACTTATTGGAGAACCACTCAATTTAGATAGTTTTATTGTATGTATATTACATAAAGATGGTGCTCTCTGGAAAGTTTTTGGGGGCAAGCAGAGACAGGAAAAAAGAAAAGTGAATGTAACACTGTGAGTAATCATATACACATGAATTCTGATTAGCTATTTTCAACATTCCACTTACAACTTATATTGTAACCCACTTCTTCACTTAACAATATGAAAAATAAATTAGGATTAAAGCAGCTTTAGCAAAACAGTGCTCTTACATCACCAGTAGGGAGGGTAAAGGAAGCATTTCATAAAAACAGCCTTTCATTATCATGTGCATGTCTTAGTACATATTAGAGAACTAAGTCAAGTGTAAGAATACAATTTTTAATTAGTAATACATTTAAGAGAAAAAGCCATGCAGACTTTTTGCTATCAGTGTTAAGTATTCTAAAATAATCTACTTGCCATTTTACAAAGTAGTCTTTTCCAATAGATACAACTTAAGGTTTGGCGAGAGAATTGTAGGTAGGTGAGAATATGACAATAGTCAATATAAAACTGTAAAAGTAAGACAATTCAAAATTTCGGGCATTTCTGTCTCAACACTGAAAGTATTGAAGCAAATCTAGGCCTATGGCAATAAAAATATCTAAGGTCTTCAGATACAATCTAATACACATGCATTCTATACCAACTATGGTTGCAACATGTGTAACAGAACATTATTTACATCAATGTAGATTTCAAAAAGAGAGATTGATACCGTGTGTATTCTTCTTGCAGCTTATTAGGATCGCTCACAAAAAACTTGACTCTGAAGTTTAAGCTGTGAGGAGATCCTCCTAAAATTAAATAAAGCCATCACTTTAGATTATTTTTATTTTTACATCCTAAATTAGAAAAATATTTTTATTCAAAACAAATAAAATATGTTTCCTCACTCTTCAGCTGTTTCCTGATAGGCTTATTTGGGTCCAGCCATCTCTGGAGGGAAAGAAAAGATAAATATTATGTGCTTTTCCCCCTCCCAATCAACAGTAAGTCAAACAACCACCTGAAGTTATCAGTATGTTTGCAGTACATGAGAAAACAGGTTATTGTTCCCAAGTTTATAGGATGTCTCAGCGATTGGTTAGTTGGATTGCTTAACTACAACCTATTTGGTCAGTTGGCAACTGGACTCTTGTAATTTTTGTGAGTTTATTGGTACTGATGTATTTGATTTTACTTTTGCATTGTTTTCAATAGAGTTATATTTGTGAATTCTTACTGGTGGAACTTTTAATATGGTTTGGGGGTCTCTGAGATGTAGCCCATTTTCGGAGTTTAACACATTTGGTTACATGCTTAATGACAGCAGCATGTAAAAGCAACCTGAGTCAACTTTTCAAGCAGAAGAAAATCAGGTTTTCTGGATTGTAGCTGCATTGCTCATTCTTTTGATCTATTAAAAAACATCTTTAGAATTTTGCATGCTAATTTAACAAGCCACCCCTATATATATACACAACTATGATCCATAATTCCATTTCATTGTCTGACAAACTGTGTGTGCACACGAAAGCTCACACCTTGAATAAAACTTTGTTGTCTTAAAGGTGCCAGTGGACACTAATTTTGTTCTCTCTCTCTCAGTTCTTTCTACAAAAAAGGAAATGAGCTGAAACCATGAGTAACTATATACTACAGAAATTAAATTCAACCCTAGAGGCAGTATAGAAAGAACTCTGTAAGGTAAGGTCACTCCAGGTACGATGGTTAGATAAAATGGGCTCAAATAAGGATTCTATCATGTCTAACATTTGTCTTGTTCTAGGCACAAACTAGTTTTTCTCCACCTCAGTATGTCACTATTTTCCTTGACCAGTTTTACTCCTTGGCTTAAGCAGTCTAGTTTTGTTTTCAAAGTGTTTCATCTGGAAAATAATGGTGAGTCACAGGGAAAAGCCAAAGCACAGATTTCAGAGTAGCTTTTAAATTTTTATACAGTCAAGACTTATTCAGCTACATCGTCTTTTATGGTGTAGGGGAAAGCCTACAGTGTCCTAAAAGACTACTTCATAAATACTAATCCCTGAGGAGAACACAGCAAGATAATATAAAAGATATACAGGCTAGAGACAAGGTTCAATTAGGGACCCGTTGCAAGATTACACCTTTTAGAGATGTGCAGTCTGATAACTATGAATGATAAAAAAACAGCATGTGCATCCTGCTTAAATATTTTATTTTTAAATTTTATTTTACTGAACTTGTATCAGAGCAGGTTCCATCAATTCCAAAACGAAACTAATTTAAAACAACAAAGATTAAAAGAATGCAATAATCATAAAATACTGTGCAGGATCTAATAAATAACTCAGTAGCTAAAAGAGAACAATAGTGTCATTCCAGGTGGCTGTTCAATCCAACACAATAATGGGAGGACAGCCGGGTGGGGGTGGGGGATGGGACAGGACATGCTGCCTCAACTCAAAGCCCGGCAGAAGAGATCCATCTTGTGGGCCCTGCAGAATTGTAATAAATCCCGCAGGGCCCTGATCTCACGTGGGAGCTCATTCCACCAGGTAGAGACCAGGGCCGAAAAGGCCCCGGCTCTAGTCAAGGCAAGTCAGACATCCCTGGGGCCAGGTACTACCAAAAGGTGTAGACCTCAGTGCTTTACGGGGCTCATACTGGAAGAGGCAGCTCCTGAAGGTATGCTGACCCCTGGCCGTATAGGGCTTTAAAGGTAAGTACCAGCACCTTAAAACAGATCCAGAATTCAACAGGCAGCCAGTGTAGTTCATGCAGCACCGGGTGGATGCAAGCCTGCACAGGCATTGCCATCAACAACCATGCTGCCACGTTCTGCACTAGCTGCAACTTCTGGAGCAGAGTCAAGGGCAGTCCCACGTAGAGAGAGTTACAATAATCCAGCCTGGAAGTGACCATTGCATGGGTCACTGTAGCCAAGTCTCGGGTGGTGAGATATGCAGCCAACTGCCTGATCTGCCTCAGATGGAAAAAGGCAGACCTGACAGTGGCGGTGACCTGGGCCTCCATAGATAGGAAGACATCCAGGAACACCCATAGACTCTTCACCCTCGACACTGGTACCAGTGGAGCCCCATTGAAGGGTGGGAGCCTGATTCTAAGTCCCCTGCGACTCGGGTGCAGGACCTCCGTCTTTGATGGATTTAAATTCAGTTGGCTCTGTTGCAACCATCCAGCCACAGCTTGTAAAGTGCTGTCCAAATCTTCTGGGGCAGAGTCTGGGTGGCCGTCCATCAGTAGACAGAGCTGGGTGTCATCCGCATACTGGTGACACCCTAGCCCATACCTCCAGGTAATGTGGGCAAGGGGACTGTAGTGCTCCTGCCCAGCAGTTATCACCAGACCACAAATACCTCAACGCCAACCCGGCAGGAGATTGGGCTGGAGCCCCTGACAGGCAGAGCACTCAGGACTAATATTAACAAAAACAGGAGTCAACTGAATCTTGCTCCTAGACCACAGTAGGCTGCCACCAGGCTTGCTTCATCCAGGGATGCAAAGCACAAGACAACCCTGCTTTCTTTGGGACATTAAATAGAAATCCAAACCCTCTCCCGAGAGTTAGGAGTTCCATACACACACACACACACACAATGTCTATAGAAATCCAAACCCTCTCCCGAGAGTTTGGAGTTCCATACACACACACACACACAATGTTGGTAGGGCCAAAACAGCAACTAGAAAAAGCCTTCTGCAAGCCACAGACAGAAACACACCAAACAGGTATGTAACTGAAAAGTTTTATCTATGGAGCAAAGCAATACCAACATACAATGTGAACAGAAAATAAAAAATACCTCTAACTAAATCACCTTGGTTATTACAGCACCAGTTACCCACAGGAATTCTTGAAGCACAACAAAGAACAATCAGCCTACAGCAGCTCAAAAGGCAAACCGCAATAATCTCAGTCCATCCGACAGAGTTTCAGGGTTTCCAGATGGCATAACAATAGCTCCCTTTAGCATAACCAGCCAAGGGTCTAAAGTTAGACAAAGAACCCGGTCACACGGGCCAGATATTGCGGGGGGAAGGCGTGGCTAATTGCCCCGGAGGAAACTAACGCGCAGCCGCCCAAGCACACATCCCGGTCGAGGTCCCGTGGTTAGGGGGAGATGCCGACCAGACGGGTATCCTGCAGCACGGCACAGAAGCCGTGCCGCGCGATTGCACTAGGAATCGCTCTTTGTGCGCATGCGCTGTTGGGCGCTGTTGCGCACAACTTCTGGGAACACCTGACCGTAGGCACTAATTACCAATTGGACCTAGCAACCAGGTTCACCTGATCCCAATACCAGTCAGGGAGTTTGACATATGTAAGTAAAGTATTGACAGATGTAATTGACAGCTAAACTAATTGACATTCACATGTTTGGCCATTGCAGGGGAACCCCAATCAGTTTCAGCTGTCCAAGACCATTCCTACTAAGTTAAAAGTTAAAAGAAAACAGTCTTCGTGGTGGCAGTGCTAGGCAACAAAGGCTAATGGTTTGCAGGGGGCCTTATCTGCGCTTCTCAAAACTCAAGAATGTGAAACTAAGCACTGGGCTTCTGCAAGGAACTAAACACAAAATAAACGGCCTGGATTGCACATTCTACCTTTTTCATGACTTTTGCAACTGTTTTGCATTTACACGGTACTTCTGCATCCTCCCCCCCCTCCCCTTACTACTTATATGTCTCTGTCCAGTTTCTTCATACCCTCCATGCATCTGATGAAGAGAGCTGTGTTTCTTGAAAGCTTATGCTACAATTAAGTTTGTTAGTCTTAAAGATGCTACTGGGCTTTTTACTATTTTGCAGCAACAGACTAACACAGCTAACTCCTCTGGATCTAAGAATAAAAAGGATAAGAATAAACTAGGTTCATATATACGTCAAAACTATTTTTTGGTCTTGAATATAGCATTATTTCAGAAAACACTTATATTTATATCATTGTAGTATTATCTAGAACAACCTTAGTTATATTAGTGTGATTATATTATTGCCTCAGTTATCATTATATTGATGGAAAAATAAAAAAGCATTATAGTTTTTTTAATACAAGACACTCATTTTTCATCTTTACTTATAATAAGCATAATAATTTCTGCATTTTCCCCCAAATTCTATGACCGGTCTTTTATTTATATAGTTTGTTGATTTGGCCATAATTGCATATTCTGCCATTTTATCTCCAGTTTTCATTATTTTGGCATTCCTCCGTTTTCCATTTGGCTGCCCATATTATTGTGGCTGCAGTCAACATGTATCTAAAGAACTAATGAAGTGTTCTTTCAATATGGTCTGGCAGAATTCCCAATAGCATAGTCTTTGGTTTCATTTCAAAGTTGATTTTTAAAATCTTTTGAATCTCCGCATGTATATCTTTCCAAAATAGTCTTGCCTTTTTACAGGTCCACCACATGTGGAAAAAGGTGCCATCTGCTTCTTTATATTTCCAGCAAGTCCCTATATAATGCTTGTCCATATTTTTAATATCTTAAGGAGTTATATACCATCAAAAGAACATCTTGTACCAGTTTTCTCTTAATGCTTGACTCACAGTAAATTTTATGCCTCTCATCCCTAAATTTTGAGTCCATTTCATCATACACATTTTACCTTGTTCAGTTTCTGTAGCATATTGGAGTAAACATTTGTAGATTTGTCCTAATAAATTATCTTTCTGTTAAGTAATTTCTTTTTCCTTCAAATTCAGTTCGGTCTCTTATCCGATCTCTGAAAACTTGGGCAGTTTCTTTGAGTCTAGAAATTAGTTGGAAATATACCAACCTTTACATTTTCTTTCCTCCTTCTTTTATTGTTTGCCATGATATAACTTTTCCTTGTGGATTCAGCATATCTTGATAGGTTACAAAGTCATTGGTTTTTATCACATATTTATAATGAGATGCATGTATTGGTGACATTATTGGTCAAGTCTTTGGACTAATTCTTAA